GCAGCATCAGATGCTTCAAAGGAAGGGTCATGGATTAGGAAATTCATCCAAGAGTTGGGTGTATTTCCGAACGCTAGCGATCCAGTACGGCTGTACTGCGATAACAACGGAACCGTAGCGCAAGCTAAGGAACCAAGAGCTCATCAGAAGTCGAAGCACGTGTTGAGAAAATACCATGTGATCCGAGAGATCATAGAGAGAGGTGAAGTCAAGCTAGACAGAGTCACCTCGGAGGACAATATTGCAGATCCCTTCACCAAGCCATTGTCAGGATCAGTCCACGAGAAACATCGAGAGTCGATGGGACTTAGATTTATGAGTAGTTGGCTTTAGTTCAAGTGGGAGATTGTTGGAGTAGGTGACCAACAAGCCAACTTGTGGCTGTGGTCTTTCCTTTTATCTTGTAATAAAACAATCGTTTTTTTCGTTCGTAATAATAAAATATCTTATTTGGCATTCTATATCTGTTATCCCATGCAAGCAGCATAGATATAGTCCTAACGAGTTACTCTATTACTGTGAGTTGATCTAGTAGAATCGTGAGATAACTCAGCAATGTAATGTAACTGTTAAACCTTGTTCCTAGTCGATGGGTTACGCCAATAATGAGGATACCGGCCTTTCCCTTTTGAGACTAGCACTTAGTGTATGTGTACTGCGTCTCATCAGTCCTCGGTGTTGTGACATCGGCATACTTGAGTGGGTGCTCATACTGGATGAGTTCACTGAACTCCATCGCCCTAGAAATCTATAAGTGGTTCTCATTCATCGAGTAATAGGTTTCTAAGATATAGTTGTACACCATTAGTCCTTAAGACCCAGACATCACCGTGACTTCACTAGAGGACCGATTGTATCGTGACCTGTCCCTGAGTCCCACCGCGGACCACTCCAAGGGCCAACGTTCGTGCAATCCGAAATCTAGTGTGAAGTCTGTGCATTGTAGTAGGGGATTCGAGCGCTTGAGTAGTCATGGATGTCCTGTGTGTTCTGACGGTTTATAATCCATGGAATCTCTGGCCAGAGTTGATAGTGGGGTGATTAGGGAAATGTGTTTCCCTAAGTCGCACACGAACGGATTTATAATACCTAGAACGTTCGCACGGTTATTGAACTTTATAAGAGGTCTCGGTGAACCAATGCCTCTAGTTCAATCGGGACATGTGCTACGAAGGGATCGTACTGTACGCTAACTATATCATAATGTTCTTGCAGGCACTTCACTTGTATCTAGGGAATCATGATGCGTAGTTGCTAGACGCCAATCTTGATTCGTTGGGCACCGATTTGATCGGGGATTAGGTAAAATGAGTTTTACTCTAATCAGGACTCTTGGGAGGAGTTCCTATAAGAACAATGTGTTGTTCGAATCACAAAGAGTTGTGAGCCCACGGCTAGCATACACCTGAACCATTGAGGGTCACACTTCTCGTGTAATATAGATCCTTGATAACAACAAGCATAGATTAATGTGTTAATCTTTGAACGATTGGATGTCGATATGATTGAATCCATGATTCGTAATTGTGGATTGCGAATCGGAATAAACGTAGAGAAAGAGAGACATGCGGAATTTAGTGAAGTTTCTAAATTGGGAAGTTTCCCGATTTAGCAGGTCCACTGAAGTGGAAGTTTCCAATTTTGGAAATTGGAAATTTCGAAGAGGCACTCGTATCGACGAGGACTTTAAGCTCGTCACAAATATAATTTTGTTATAATTTTGTGAACGATCGTTTGTTAGAAACGAGGCCGACGAGGGAATGGGCTTAATGCATCAGTGGGTCAAGCCCAATGACTTAAGCCCACTAGGGTTGAAAACCCTAAGTATAAATAGACCTCAAAAAGAGTTTTGAGATCAGATTTTTCAGCACCAAACCCTAGCCGCTCAAGCCCTAGCCGCTCCCCTCTTCGGCCGTTGCTCCACCGGCGCGCCACCGCCGACCACCGCCGGAAAACCACCGGTTTTCTTCTCTCGTTTCCTTTGTTTTATTCTTGTTGTTATCTAACTCGTTTACATCTAGTGATGTAGTTCGAGTGGGTCGAAAATACGAGGTGAACCCTAATTGGAGAGGAGCTGCTGCCCCGACGAATCCACGCACCGCCGCACGCGCCGATACGCCGCTCACGCGCCGCCGCTGCTGCTGCCACGCGCCGCCGCTGCTGCTGCCGTTCACCGCCGTTCGTCGCTTGCTGGATCAGCTTGGTCCAGGCGTGAGTTGCAGCCCCGAGGATTGGTAATTTGCAGCTTGTACGTGACTCGTTCTAGGATTTCGATTCGTCGAAATCTCACGCTACAAGAGGTAATTAAATCGGAACTTTCGTAATTCGATTCGAACATGTTTGTATGATTTTTAATTTATGAGCATGAGTAATATGTGATTACGTGTTTCGATTTTATTGAATGATGAATAAGCATGTTTCGTGATTTTCGGTTTTACGTATTTTTCAATTAAATCGATAATTACCATATGTATGGCGGAAGCGTTAAGGTACGTTGACTATATGATTAGTTTATGCATGTAATCGAAATTAGTTCGATCTAAAATTTTTAAATTCCGCTGCGTATACATGCACGATCCCCAACAGTACAGTGTTGGACGGGGTTTGGACTTTGATCCGGGCGAATTTATTTTTTCGCCGCATATTGGAGGAGGCTGAGCGTGTACCTGTTGTTTTATCCTTTCCTGTTCTAATCTTGGCTTTACTGTATGAGCAGGGTTACAGGGCGCCCAAATCTTCCGACTTAAATACATTGGATCCTCTTCTAATCAAAGTCACCCCAAAGCTGGATTCGATTATGACATTTTTGTATAGAATTGTGCTTTTGGTTTGGATATGCAGGTACAATACACACTTGAATTGTTTGGATTCCAATTTACTTTTCATTGGAATCCAAACAACCTGGTTGGATTCGATTATGACATTTCTGTATAGAATTGTGCTTTTGGTTTGGATATGTAGGTACAAAACACACTTGAATTGTTTGGATTCCAGTTTACTTTTCATTAGAATCCAAACAACTTGGTTGAATTTGATTATGACATTTCTGTATTGAACTGTGCTTTTTGTTTGGATATGCAGGTACAAAACACACTTGAATTGTTTGGATTCAAATAATTCAATTTTAATTAGATTCATAAATCTACACTTTTTGGACGGGATACGATTCTATTATGTTTTTATGGAATTTACTTATTTCAATTGTAATGCAGTATGTATACTAAACAGTTTGATGATAACTTATTATAAATGATAAGTAGTTTTTAGCCTTTATAATATGTTCATTTCTTGATGTATTATGAGTGTCGATTGATATTTAACCTTTCGAAATATATAAAAAAAACATCATGTGTAATGAAATATTTCACACTGTGATATAATAATATGTTATAATCTAATAAGTCTATATTAATTAAATATTTGTTTTTGAACATAATTTTATAACATCTAATATTAAAGTTTTACCCACAGCCTCGGTTGTCGTGCAAATATCCTCAAGACGCTTGGGTTTCATCTAACCCTCTTTTAACCGCACCATCCATATCAGGCCATAGTGTGACAATCATCCTCAAAATATTATGTAATCTTCTCATCTTGAATTATATCTCTCTCCTTCCAAAACCCTAACTTAGAGAATGTCTTGCTCGCGAAAAAGACAGAGATTGGTATGTAGGTCGACCGACGACGGGTTGTTTGAGATGGGTTACGACAAACTGATTGCTAGGGATTACTTCTTTTACAATGACAGGGTAGCGAGATTGAGAGAACAGTTGGAGAGGTTGAAGTTTATGGCTGAGAGGTCGGTAGACGAGAGTTTGAGCCGGTGGGGTGTCACGTATCTGTTGGAAGGGAGCCACTTCATGGGGACCGTAGTGTTGCCGGATAATCCAGCGAGAATAACTTTTGAGGAAGGGGTTGTGCGTGACTTCTATGCAAACTTGGAGAAAAGGGCTGGGGTAAGTGGATCCGCATATTTTGGGAAAATGTATGTCCACGGGGAGGTTTTTGAGTTCAACCCCACTTGGTTGAATCATGATTTGGGCACCAAGAACGTTGGAGGGGTGAAATATGGGGCGTCAGCTGAGGAGATTGCGAAAGAGCTAACTGGAGGCATAATAGAACATTAGCCGGAGTCTGGGGTTTTGCGGGACCAACTAACAAAGAAATATTGGCTTCTGCACGAGATTGGCCCATCCAATTGGTACCCGACTAGTGACCAGAATTACGTGTCACTGGGTAAGGTGGAGTTACTATTCTCCGTGGGTCGGGGCTTGGATAACAACATTGGAGAATAAATTTTTTCGCCAGATCTTACATCAGGGAGAAGGCCACGATTTCTATATATTCCTATTATGATTTTTGCAGTTCTGCGTCAGCAGGAATACAAGGTTCACTTCAGTGGGAAATTCAACAACCACAGACCAGGTGCGATCAGAGTGAGCAGTGAGCTACTTCAATGTAATGCGAAGGTGGACGATCTCACCAAACTTGCCACCTCGCCTACTCCGGCAACGGGCGAAAGAGGGTGCATTATGGTGCGGGATTTCATTCATGCATATTTGAGTAAGCAACTGGAGTTGAAGCGTGGTGAAGTTGCCGCTTTGGAAGCTCATATCAAAGCTCTCTCCATCGGTGGTCCGACTAAATTGCCCCCTTCCTCCCCCGATGGTGCAGAGGGCGAATGATATCAATGCTTGTGTTTGTAGCCGGGTTTTGTTTTTGTTGTAAATACACCAAGTAGTTTGTTAACGGTTGCTTGATGAACAATATCGTATGACAGTTAAGTTTTGTGGGTTGTCATATTTTCATTTGTGGCATTGTGATGAAGCAACTCTATGGCGTCAAAATTCCTTTTTTTTTTTTTTTGTGTGTTTTAAATGTTATAGATCTCGTCCTTCAATGTTGTTATATGCAAATTTACATAATAGCAGTTACAAAGTAGACATAATTAACAATTTGCGGAATTGCGCGGATATTCACATTGGTGGTCGTGGTCGTGGTCATGGTGGTCTCATTGGATAAACACTTTCCACAAATGCTGGGGTTAAGTAAGAATTGTCATCGTTGCTTCCATCCTTCAATATTACAAGAAGAAATTACCATTCTCATATTTGTGAAATAATTGAATAGATGTTTTATAAAGATAAATTGTTAAACCTGGTATTGAGAACGTTGATGGAGCATATTGTAAGGAATATTTGAATGTGACATCACATTCATGTCCGCAAGACTGTGCTCCGATGACATTGGAGAAAACTGGGGAACGTAGCTTCTGCTGCCCACATTGTCGGAACGACTTGCTGATTGCTTAGAATTAACTTTACCACGAGACGAAAAACCAGCTTTTGGATTAAGCTCACAAGTGGTTGTCTTTTTTCCAGGTTTCCTTAAAAATTCTCAAATAAATTATTAGAAATAATACTCCTCTCAAATTTATTTGTTTATATAAAATAGATACATATCGCACTAACCTACAAAACGAGCATAATTGCTTCTTTCGTATGGATCCTCCTTTTGAAACAATTTTACAAGGATCGGCCACATTTCTGGGACATTTAACATTATGAATTGTATCCTCACCGTCAGAATGTAATTGTGAACAAGATTCATCATCCTCGTCAGTCGGTGTGATATTAAGTTCAATCTCGTCCTCCCTCATCTTAACACGCCCACTGGTGTAGAGGTTGTCCGTCTGCTGATACGAGAAAGCAGATGTGAGCCGCTTGCCAACATCGACAAACCACCGGGAATTGATGCTTTTAGCAGGAAACTGATTCAGTTTCAGATGCTTAAAGCAACATATGAGATGCCGACAAGGGATACCATCAGATTCGAGCATCTTACAGTCGCATAGGAATTCTTCCTTATCCAAATCGACGACGACTGTCAAATCGTCTGTCGGGTCGAAGTTGTGGTCTTCGAAATTGAATGTATGCCGGTGGCCTACAATATCAGATCTTCTGATAATAATTATGTTTGCATCCTCCTTCAACTGAACTCGTACAAGTTTAAGAATGGCTCTGGTGCAGATGCGTGCGGCATGGCCCTCAACACAGCCTACTAAACCTTTACCAGATATTTTTGGTTGAACCTCAGACTCTCTCTGCAGTTCATCAAACCTTTTTCGAATCCTATTCAAGAAGCCTGTGTGGTATTATCTGAAAAAATATGTAAGTGTGGAACCAGCACGCACTTTCTGTTTAAGTGAGGCATTCATTGACTCCGCACGTTGTGTGGTCCTCATCATAGCAAAGAATTGGCTCCAAAAAAATTATTCTGCTCACTGACTGCGTTTTTCGTAAAGATCAGCTAGGTATGGATCGTCTGTAAGACCAAATTTAGCAATCAATGCAGACCATCTATCTTCGAATTCAGGTACGGAGCAAGGCATATTCATTAAATTGGAAAATTCTGTCGAGAAGCGGCCTGGTTTTTTTATGTTTGATTCAACATTACGTGAAATATCCCAGCAACAAAGCCGATGGGCTGCCTCAGGAAACACAATCCTAATGGCCGCGCGCATTGCCCCGTCTTGCTCTGTAAAAACAGCTTTGGGTGGCTTTCCTCCCATGAATTCTAGCAAAGTTTGCATCAACCACGTGTATTGTTGAGTCGTCTCCTTGTACATAATAGCAACTCCAAAAAAACGTGTGCACAGATGGAAGTTGACTCCGGAGAACAACACTACTGGAAAACAACATATGTTGGTCTTGTAGGTGCTGTCAAATACTAAGAAATCACCAAACTCCTCATACTCGGCTTTTGATATACCGTCGTTCCAAAAGTATTCCTGTTAGAGCTCCACCTTGATCGATACCGTGTTTGTATTCCAGTGTTTTGTCTTTCAACTTCATCCCGTCAAGTAAACCCAATAAAGTATTCACATCCCCTGATTCAATCCGTTTCAACCTGTCACCTTTCAGGTAGTTGTACGCGTCATTCCTATTCAATACGCCAGTTGCACTGCCTCCACCAAGATGTTCCAGAAGGTCCAAAACTAGACTAGGTTTGCACCCAACATGGGTCATCGTATCCAACATTATCTTTGTGGCTGAGGTCAATATTTTGTACCCAATCTTCCAACAAACATGCAGGAGTACATTTAAATGAAGTTGATCTGTAAATTTTAGGCAAACGAACATTTCCAATCAACCAACCTAAGATAGAATTACCTATTGCAACGAAGAATATGGCTCGTATTGGAGGTTTCCATACTGTGATTGTGCTTAGGCTCGAAGGCAGTCATTGTGTATCTCCCAGTAGAACGATTGAGAGCAACACGGAATAGAGCATGGCATCCACATCGCGTCTCTGGTCTATGACCACGCAATCGATCGCTTTCATCAATTCTCTCCTTACGGTGGCCCTCACGACAGCAAACCCATACCCTATTCAAAATGATGCCGCCTATAATTTTCATAGAGTTCTTGCGGATCCCAAATTCAGACAGTTAAGCGAAACATTGATAATGTGCACCTGCTTCGTTTGAATTAACAAATGTTAATGTTTTAAATTGTTGATCGAGTTGCAGACTTTCATCGTCTGTGTCGCCATTGTTCTCTTCCCGGTTCGAAGTCGAAACACTTTCTTCCGCCCAAGTTGACGAGGTTGAATCTTTCTCGCCGTTGTTGTGCTCTAATTCAGCCCCGCTGTTGTTCTCTAATTCATCGCCGCCGTTGTAATCTAAAACGAATAATGCGATTAAACTTAATTAATAATATTTCGACAAACCCCTAATTTTTCAAATAATACCACAACTGTAATTGAAAATTTTAGACAAACACCCAACATATTCAATTAATGAGATACCTGATTCATCAAAATTCGACATCCCTAATGCAGCAGTTATTTCACCGAAAATATGTGGGATTACCAGCCGTCAAAGTTCTCTTCAAGATTAGAAAATGTAAACGACATGAGCGGGAGAGAATTGTTGAAGAGATGAAGTCATATAAGGATATTAAAGTCATTTCCATTAAATTTATTAATTTTGTTGTTTAAATTTGATTTTGTAGCATAAGGGCATTTAGGACAATACACAATCAAAATTTAAATAAACATTTATTTTTAATGCACGCTCGTTTCGTGTAATGTCGTATGTATGATGGACACGTGGCGGCCAATGAGACCCTACCTGACCTCAGGGAGAAATTAGCGATCGGACGCTAGAAAGACCCTAGTCACTCATAGTTAGGGGTGGGAACGAGCCGAGCTCGGCTCTTTTGGCCAGCTCGAGCTCGAGCTCGAGTCCATGTTGCCGAGCTCGAGCTCATCGAGCCAATTTTTTTTGGCTCGAGCTCGAGCTCGAGCTTATTTAATTTTTTTATTTTTTTATTTTTTATTTTTTATTATTATTTAATTTTTTATTAAAATCATTTAATTTTTTATAAAAAATTATTCATAGGAAAATAAAAAAAATTATAAAATAAATAATGAACTCTAGTTATATATATTTTTTATTTTTTCTATTATTATTATTATTATATTTTATATTATTATGAATTATTTAAGTAATATAGATTTGTTTCTATTTAAATACTAGATATATTTATTATTATAGACTATTTACTATTTAGTTAATAATAATAATAATAATAATAAGAATAAGAATAATATATATATATATATATGTAAAAAGAAAAAAAAAAAAAAAAAAAAAAAAGGCAGCTCGCGAGCCGGAACAACTAATTTTGGGCTCGAGCTCGAGCTCGTCCGAAGCTCGAGCTCGTGAGCTCGAAAAACCCGAGCTCGAGTTCGAGCTTTTTTCGAGCCGACTCGTCGAGTTCGCGAGCCGGCTCGGCTCGTTTGTCACCCCTACTCATAGTAATCTGTAGTCATTCGTAGTAACCCATAGTCACTTGTAGTAATCCGTAGACAACTATAGTCATCCTGAAACCCAAGATTCACCCTCTTGAACCTTAGCTTCGATCTTTTGATTCACAATGCCGTCAAACCCCGTAAACTGCAGTAGTCATTTTGAAAATTCTAATTTCACCCTTTTAAACCCGAGCGCCACCAACAGATGAAGACCGGCCACCGTTGAGCCGTCATCGCCTCGTAAGCAACACACACATACCATGGATTATCAACTAACCCGAGTCGGCGTCGAAAACGTGCAACAAGAAGATCAACGATGTCGAAACACATCAACAACCTTTCCCTGCTGCCCCCTAACGAGACGCACAAATGGTGATGCAATCGCCCCTTCCCCACCAGACCTAGGCGAGTCGAGGTCAGCAGCGCCACCGCTGGTGGCAGATCTGTTGTTTTCCTTCTCAAAACATCAAAAACAGATCTACTAAAGATACATAAAAAGAAAAAAAATAGAGTGAAGGGGAGATGATGAGTGACACACAAATAATATAGAACCAGAAGAAGAGAAAGAGAGAGAAGGGGAGGAGTTGTGGCAGCGCAAAAGGAGAGAGAGAGAGAGAGTAAGCAAAATTACGTGATATTTTATTAGGTATATTAAGGGTATTTTCGGGTAAAAAGAAAATCAAAGGATGTATATAAAAAAAAAAATTGAACTAAGGATTTATTTAAAATATTCTAATTGAGGTTGTCATTCACATCTAATTATGTTTGATTTGAGGGATGTCATGCATACTACCCCTAATTTATAACTAATTTAATATTTATTTTTGAATATAAATCGTATACTATATTTATTGAAATATGTTAAAAAGTTAATAATGCTATTAATATACACGATATAATATACTAATGAATGCATCTAATATAAGGTACTAGTCCATGAGGTAGTTATGTTTACCAGTAATCTACGGCGGGCATGCATATTGAGAGACGTGTACAGTAGTGAAGGTGTTAGTTAGCAAAATCAAATTTATAATATGTTTAACTAATTTTGAAATCGTAGTTTATGCACGACCTATACATAATAAAATTTTACTTCAACACAAATTAACTTCATTTAAATTTTTTTATAATATTTATATGAGTTTAAGTGTTGATATAACTTTCAAAATAGTTTACCATTTTTTTCAAGACTTCACTTGTACTATATCTATTAAATATATTGAAATCTTAATAATATAATTAATATACACATATATGTATTGAAAAATAAAAAAAATATAAACTATTAGTAACATAATAGAGAATCCGAACTATTTTGTCATGAAAAATAGTTTAGTCTTTGAATATATTTACGATGCCCCATTAACTCAGTTGGTTAGAGCGTCGTGCTAATAACGCGAAGGTCGCGGGTTTGAGACCTGCATAGGCCATAACTAATTCCATAACCGCATAATATCAAAATATCTCCTATATTAAAAATCATATATTTAAACAAGGCAATAAACATTAACCTACATATACTTTGAACATAAAAAATATTTCTATTATTTAAAATTTTAGCTGGAATTATGTTGTCACTATAATTTTTAAATATTTTTTTTTCTTCCAATGTTAATTTTATACTATCTTCATTGAAATATGCTAAAAAGTTAAAAAAACTATTAATGTAAACGATATAATGAACTAATGAATACGTCTAATATAAAGTATAGTAGCTAATACATGATCCACTCTATTTTCTAGTACAAGACAGTAGTCTTTCGTAAATATCTTCGGTGGCCCATTAGCTCATTGAAGGGAAAAGCCCAGCGGAAAGCCCTTATGTGAAGTCGTCTGAAAATCTTATGGGAAGACGCCTTATGTTTCTTGTCCCACGTTAGTGTCACAAGTGAAATATTCAACTTCAGTATCTATAAATATGCGAGTTCACTCGCATATGAATCAAAGTACTATTTCGCAAGTTAAAGGTTTTATTGCTTATACTCTCCAAACGATTTCTGACTGCCAGCTAGAATTTTTCATGATTTATTTTGCAGGCGGTGTTCTCCTCTTCGATTGCCTAGCACACCTGGCAGTGACTGTCAAGACTTGAGCTAAAAAAAACTCTTCGGTTGCGCAATCGACACTTGAGCATCATCAAACACATAAACGGTTGGTCTATGTTTTCTATATTGAACAAAAATTAAATCAGTGAAATTGGAGTTTAAATAGATATCTCTTTGAATATTATAACAATAACGTTTGTATTAATTTATTTTTGTTTATTATATCTTTGAAAATTATAACAGAATCTCACAAAATAAAAGACATAAAGTTATAGATCTACGTGTTGGCTAGCTTTTCAATTGAACTTGTACAGTTCATTTGGGTGAGCTGTGATGAATATTACAGATACAACAATAAATGTATGTTTGTAACCATTCCACCGTACTATACTCTAATTATAACTTATTTTACTATCAGTATAACTGGTTCTACAATATTTCAATGCATTTCACTATCATTTCATATTTTTATGGGTTTTTCTGATTTATTGTAGCATTTTTTTCATCTCATCTTTGTATTATGTTAACTATCCTAATATTTTCGAAATGATAAAACCAATTTCATAAATGAAAAATATATAATTTGTAACTCCATTTTTTGGCTTGTCTGTTGCAATTTAAAAAGATGCGTTTGTGCTTTAGATGAAAGAGCTATGACAAAACTATCTCACTTTATTATGTTGACTTTATTGTATATTGTGGACTCCTTTGCCTATCGAAGAGGCCGCATGGGTAGACTCAGAGGGGATGATAAAGATGCATCCATACATGCATTTTTTTCAAGACTTCACTTGTACTATATCTATTAAATATATTGAAATCTTAATAATATAATTAATATACACATATATGTATTGAAAAATATAAAAAATATAAACTAATAGTAACATAATAGAGAATCCGAACTATTTTTTCATGAACAATAGTTTAGTCTTTGAATATATTTACAACTGCCCATTAGCTCAGTTGGTTAGAGCATCGTGCTAACAACGCAAAGGTCGCAGGTTCGATACCTACATGGGCCATAACTAATTCCATAACCGCTTAAAATCAAAATCTCTTCTATATTAAAAATCATATATTCAAACAAGGCAATAAACATTAACCTACATATAATTTGAACTTAAAAAATATTTTTATTATTTAAATTTTTTGTCCGAATTATGTTGTTACTATAATTTTTAATTATTTTTTTTTCTTCCAATGTTAGTTTTATACTATCATCATTGAAATATGCTAAAAAGTTAATAATACTATTAATGTAAACGATATAATGTACTAATGAATACATATAATATAAAGTATAGTAGTTAATACATGATCCACTCTATTTTATAGTACAAGACAGTAGTCTTTCGAAAATATCTTCGGTGGCCCATTAGCTCATTGAAGGGAAAAGTCCAGTGGAAAGCCCTTATGTAAAGTCGTCTGAAAATCTTATGTGAAGACGCCTTATGTTTCTTGTCCCACGTTAGTGTCACAAGTGAAATATTCAACTTCGATATCTATAAATATGCGAGTTCATTCGCATATGAATCAAAGTACTATTTCGCAAGTTAAAGGTTTTATTGCTTATACTCTCTAACCGATTTCTGATTGCCAGCTAGAATTTTTCATGATTTATTTTGCAGGTTAAAGAACGGTGTTCTCCTCTTCGACTGCCTAGCACACCTGGCAGTGACTGTCAAGACTTGAGCTAAAAAAAACTCTTCGGTTGCGCAATCGACACTTGAGCATCATCAAACACATAAACGGTTGGTCTATGTTTTCTCTATTGAACAAAAATTAAATCAGTGAAATTGTAGTTTAAATAGATATCTCTTTGAATATTATAACAATAAAGTTTGTATTAATTTATTTTCGTTTATTATATCTTTGAAAATTATAACAGAATCTCAAAAAATAAAAGACATAAAGTTATAGATCTACATGTTGGCTAGCTTTTCAATTGAACTTGTACAGTTCATTT